GAGGAGTGGACAGTAGGCAGTAGGATCGCTAATGACACAGCTAACCTACCAGGGACCGTGTAGTAATTTGGAAGCTGTAATACATGGCCAACACAGTGAGGAGCGTACAGTAGGCAGTAGGATCGCTAATGACACAGCTAACCTACCAGGGACCGTGTAGTAATTTGGAAGCTGTAATACATGGCCAACACAGTGCGGAGCGTACAGTAGGCAGTAGGATCGCTAATGACACAGCCAACCTACCAGGGACCGTGTAGTAATTTGGAAGCTGTAATACATGGCCAACACAGTGAGGAGTGGACAGTAGGCAGTAGGATCGCTAATGACACAGCTAACCTACCAGGGACCGTGTAGTAATTTGGAAGCTGTAATACATGGCCAACACAGTGAGGAGTGGACAGTAGGCAGTAGGATCGCTAATGACACAGCTAACCTACCAGGGACCGTGTAGTAATTTGGAAGCTGTAATACATGGCCAACACAGTGCGGAGCGTACAGTAGGCAGTAGGATCGCTAATGACACAGCTAACCTACCAGGGACCGTGTAGTAATTTGGAAGCTGTAATACATGGCCAACACAGTGCGGAGCGTACAGTAGGCAGTAGGATCGCTAATGACACAGCCAACCTACCAGGGACCGTGTAGTAATTTGGAAGCTGTAATACATGGCCAACACAGTGAGGAGCGTACAGTAAGCAGTAGGGCCGCGAATGACAACGCTGACCTTGGCGGTGATGGCGCGGCCTAGCGTGCAATTAGTGCAACACGCGCCCAGCCTCCGACTTTGAAACAAAAATTAGTTATAATTTTAACAGATTCGTACCAATCAATGCTTCATCGAGACCGGCTGTGGGAGGGGCGATGGTCATTTTACTTTGTGGGAGTTGTGTCTGAGTAGGTTGGTCTACTTCATTTAACATTTTGTACAAATGTTTTGCTGATTCTCAAAAATATATGATGAGTGTTATAAGGCGAATTAAGTGGTTAAGAAATCAGTTGTAACCCAGGTTTGAGGATTTGATCTGGTGATACTGTTGTTTTTAATTTTGGATTTCATTAGCGTTCGACCTAGTTCCACTACATACTTGTAAACTACACTCCAGGTTGTAGAGAGGAGAACAAAAACTAAAATCCCCAACTCATTAATGCATTCATGTACAAAAAGTCCAAGGTCTTTTGAAGAAGAGGGACGCTACAATTAAAATATCCCCTAAGAAGATGTAAATATTATAAGCTCGTAAAATTAATATTAGAGACACCTAACCTTGTCCAGCAGAGCGAAAAAACCATTAATTTGTTTTAATTACATAAACATAGACAGTTTCCCTTTTACACCACCTTCGTTTGCACAGGTCAAATTTTAACAGCGGCGGTTCTCTTCCTGAAAAGAGCCAACGTCCAAACCACTTAGACTCGCCTCCTTCACACAATAGTTTCGTCGAGCCCGCTAATATTAAGCCATTAAAATTTGGCCTAATCCCAAAGTCCGGATAATTGAGCCACGGGGCTTGACAGTTTTGACAAATATCGGAGCTTAGCGGCCGAGAGTTCCAAGGTCGCCGTAAACGTTCTCGGATAAATATTGAGGTATCTCCAGCGCGGTTGTAAATCCGACCTAAGGAGCTTTGCGCTTCCCCGTCAAAACGTCCGCTTTTTGTACCCGAAATTATAAATTATGATTACGCTCACTAACATTTTAAGCCCCCGGGAGAAGTGACAGAAAAAACGTCCAAGACCGAAACGCGATTGGACGGCGCTATTGTGGATTTTATTTGGGGATTTGAGTGCTCGTTTTATGGTGGTTTATCCGTAGTGTGGTTAGGTTGGTGGGAAATTCCTTCGTTTGGATTTTTAGTTGAACTTTTAGTAGTTAGGTCCGTTTGTCTGAGAAATAAAAGATAATCAGAGACTATATGTAACAAAATTGTTAAACGACTCTTTTTGAACTTGGTTTTAAAAGAATTTCTAGAATTTTACTTTTCAAATAACATTCTTTTACAGAAATTCACAGTTTCAATCTGAAAATTTAGAATATAAAAATACTTTGATTCATATATTTCCTGACGTGGTGTACGGGTGTACCCTATAGTAGACAACAATACAGTAGGACTATAACTACATCGCCATATAAATTAAAAGAGCTCCCTCTAAAAAGTACATACAACGCACATCACTCAGTTGAGTTTATATGTCAAACAGCTACCGAACTGGATTCCCGAGTAACAAAACTTAAAACTAATTGCAAATGTACGAAATCGGAGAGCAAAAAGGCGATTTCGGCTATCTCGGACATGTGTTGAACAAACCGGAATGTATAACGAAGCTCGCTTAAACGGTCGGGGAATCGTCTCATTTATAAATTCGTCCGCGCAATAAAAACGGACTAACGCAAATAAATGCCCCAAAGCAGATATTAATAGGACAATTAGCAAGGGGCCGGTGTGCCAGTGCCTTTTTGGGCCACCTTGAATAATGCGGGTCTATTGTAAATGCATTAATTAAAGAACTGGTTGCGGTCGCGTCTAGCGGGCAAAAACGTCGCCCGAAGAGGCGGGGAAAAAATAATTTACTATGTTTTAATACTCGACATTCTTCTACATGGAATCCTATGTCCGACATAGCTGCCTTTGGGCCTCGCCGACATTCCTGATGTGGAGTCCTTGGTCGGCGATCGGATGTCACCGATTTGAAATGTTCTTCGATGCGTTTTGAATCACTAGTTCATAGCTCGGAGTTCAGGAGTTGGAGGGTTTGGTTGCAACTTCTTCCCAGTTTTGGATCTCCAGTTGGAAGATGATGAGGTTGAGTTTTATTTTGGATCAGTAGATTATAGGAGTTTGGGGATGGAGTGGTTATAAATTATAGTTGTTAGATTTTCTACTGTAGATGCGTTTTGAATCTTCAGTCTGCTGCAAGATGATATGGTTATTGGTTAAACCACGTTTGGGGTCTCTAGACCATAATCGCGGAAGAGTTAAGTGATAAACATAGGCTGTATACACATTATGTACCACAAATATTTGTTTACTTACTATTGAAACTAAAGCAGATTTGCTGGGAGATTAAAAGTTTTTCTGAACATTAAAATCTATATGTGCCGATCAACTAATTTACAGCCAGACCTGGACAGGAGAAGCTAACTTTCTTTATAAATTTAAATGGCTGTTAAGTTATGGATTTCCCCGTAAATTTAGAATAGATGAGTTATATGCATAAGTTTGAAGTCTGCTGCAAAACATAGATTAAGCATTTTGCTCCACAATCTTACTATAGATGAGATTTGTTTACCACCACATAGCCTGATGGGATTCAAGGATTTTGCCAGACATACTATCTGTTTGAGTTCCCAAGATCTAACAGTGACGGTAAAATATAAAATAACAGGATACAGGAAGGTTTGACTACAATAGGTCTATATCAATGATTTCATTGAAGGTAAACAATAACTATCTATCTATATATTAATAGGCAAGCATGTTCCTTTAAAACCTTTTTTCTCAGCTCGTGTGCATTGCAGGGAACATCTACGCATACTGTTGGAAAGATATTTTACTGTAGATGTGCAGAATGCCTTTAAAAATTAAAATAGGCTAACAAATAAGCACAAAAAATGAATTTGAAAACTTCAACAAATTAACATGGACCATATGGGTTGCCATGATGGTGACGAAATAACAACAAAATGTAAACAGAAAATCAAAACAAAGGGAAGAAATTCCAATCACATGTTTTATTTACAGTGTGGGGAGAAAATAGAGAAGTCTGTACATTAATATTTTTTGGTCGAGTTTCGACCACAGGACGACCACTAGTAAGTTTAATTTCCAAAGTCGCAATTTTACCCTTCACCATATAGATGATCATTTATATCCAAAATAAAAGCTGTCAAATCAAACATCCCACGACGGGGTGATTTTCACTGAAAAACCTCTCTCCCCAAATTTGTCCGGACCTACCGGTTGGTCAAATGAGACACGACCAGTCGAGGGCCGGGCGATAAAAAACTCCTGGCCGTGAAATTATTTATTGCTCAGCCTGATAATATTTATAAAAGTGGAAGCGACACTCAGACGTCCTTGTATCCCAATAGATGCTGCTCCATAAAGATCGTAATCTCGCACCCAAAGAAGTATATGGGAATACCCCGGGCCCCCCGCCTGCCGCATCGACTCTCCGTCTTACAACGCTCCATTTATTAACACGTGTCTTACCGTGTGTTTTAGACGCGGTTTTCTGTTTGTAATAATTTTATAAAATAAATGTCAACTTGTTAAGAGCGAGCGGGGGTCCTCGTTAACCCAAACTCTCCTTGTTTGTTTAATGCGCTGCGCTCGCTTTCGTAATAAATTTCGACAGATGGTAGTGTTTTTCACCGAAGGATATGCGTTAATCAGCCGTGTGGGATTCGGATGCATTTTTTACCCTGACAGTTAATTACTTAAACTTCGGGGTGCTCTAACGGTATCTGGGAAACCTGGAAAATTGAATAGTTTGTAGTATAAGCGTTCCATTCGGTGTACGTGAGAAATTCACTATCAACAGTTAGTACATGTTGTTAAATAAATAAACTGGTTGTCGTTCTCATGTTGTCGGGAGGTGTCCGTCCAAGATACTGGTGCAACCTTCTCAATCTCAATCATATGAAAAATACACTGTTCTTGATTCAGAAAAACAAAGGCAATTAAGTGGATGAGTTTACAACATACATGGGATTTAATCAGCTTACAGTAGTATGCTTTGCCTTGGAGTTGGGGACATTCTCAGCCTAGTAGAGGTGTGCTCCTCTACACTTCTGCCTTGCTGAATACCTACAAGTTTTGTAATTCGACTTTCTGTTACCAAATTTGCCATTACAACAATCATTACCTCCCAGATAATTCACCTACTTCAACTACAACCAAGTGTAATTGTAAACTTGCAACAATGTTGTACGGTCTGTATTACTGTCTGGTGTCTTCAAATACAATATGAGCTGTCCTAACAAAACTTTTCTTTTCCAGATCCGCATCAAAGTGCTGGACAAGAACGACAGTCCGCCCTCCTTCAGGGACATGCCTCACGAGTTCTCGGTGTCCGAGGACCTCCCAGCTGGTCAGGTGGTGGCTACCCTCCGAGCTGCGGACCCTGACACTCCTGGACCTCTCAGCTACGCCATCGTGTCCGGAGACGAGGGCAGGTTCGAACTGGACGCTGCCACTGGCACGCTCAGGCTCAGGGACTCACTGGACCGGGAGACCAAGGACTCCTACAGGGTGCAGGTCAAGGCCAGTGATGGGGTGCAGAGCACGGAGACCATCATAACCATCTTGGTGAGTTTCAACTTTGATCTAGTAGTATCATTAGCGATTGATTGAATGTATCTTTCTCCAAAGCTTTTACCCCAAAAAGTAGTAACCACTTTTCATCGTGAAAATTTTAAACTTTTCGCAGCCAAGCATTTTTAGTCTTTTCCTAGGAGATGTTTATTTTCATTACTATGGCAAAAATGCCCGATTCACTTCAAGGGGTATCATTTTTTTTGTTTTTTAGATTAAATTTCTCAAAATAACTTTTTGTGAATGTACACTTTTTGTTGCCTCTTTGTTTACTTAGCCAAGCCAGTTGTCAGTCATACGTCAATATCGCCAACCCCGTGGTATGAGTGATGCATTTTAACATATCCCGTTAGCTCCACGACGCATATCCAATACGTCCCAAACGGCCTCTAATTCCACGTCATTACAGGCCGACCCGTTAGTCTCCTCATCCATCCAACTCCGCGTTTAACGTATTTGACACATCGGTGAAAAACTGCGGTTATTAGGGATCTTCCCCGGGGGTTCGGCCTTATTTGCGAATTCCTATAAGTGGGAGTGTGTGAAAAGAGTGGAGTTTTTAATGGATCAGTCCTCCCACCCGCCGCCGCGAGAGAGGCCCGCGGACGCACAACAATAAGTGAGAATATAACTTATTGACATTAGACCCGATAGTCCCATAAATAGTGGGATCTAAGAGCGATTATGGGTGCTGCAATTTATATGTTGAAAACGCCAACAAGGAGGAAACCCGGGTCATGAATTATAAAAGGCTGCGGAAAAATGAGCGGGCCGTAATCACAGACGTTCTCATAATATGTAAATAACTCTGTCGGGTACAGGCAGAGCCAGAACTGACTCGTGCTGCGCTGCGCAGGGCCCGCGCATGTGTACCGTGCGGTATGAGCACTACCGCACTACCGGGTAAACATTTGTCAAATGTACATCAGGGGCCCTATTTTTGAAATGGTTGACTGTTGAGTTGAGTGTCGAGTCATTCTATTTCCAATCGTTTCGTATTTTTGAAACGATTGACGGTCGACTTATCCAACCAAAACTACTCACTACCTACTGAGCTGTTGAGTGGACGGTTGACTGCACTTTCTTCTTCCTCTTTCGGTAAAAAAATTGCTCTTTTTGAGTCGACGCCATATTGTTATTGCTTTAATTTATTAATTGCGATTTAGAGGTTATGTTTATGTATTTGTTGTCAATGTATTAGCACCCAATACTTTATGCGATTGTTTTCTGTAGAATAATTGCATTTTAATTTTATTATTACTGTGTCAATACTAGACTATTTATTCAAGGGTTTTATCCTTGTTGGTATGTTTGAAATAGACTAGGCATACTAATTGAACTTAATAAAGATAATTATTGTTATTAGACCTATGATTTAAGGTATTAAAGATTGTGGTAGAGAGAAACAATATCATAGTTTGTTTCAATACCATTCACCTAATAAAGGGATCAAATTAATTTAAGTTACGATATGCTTTCAGTGCAATGGCAAATAGCCGCTTTAACCTAAATAAAAACACAATCAAAAATAACATCAAACTAACGATGAAGGAAACTATAGAGACGAAGAAAGCAAATAATAATGTATTTAAGATATGCCTAAACTTATAATTAGCTACACCCTAAAACAAACATCCATAGTAAATTTTATTTTTAATACTTAAGTTTATTTTATAAGTTAAGGTACTTTTGCAATCACTAAGATTGAAGATTAAGCAAGACGAAGACATAACCTCAATCTCTCAAGAACGGAGTTGACAGTTTACCTCAGTGTCTCGAAATATGGTAGATTGAGATTAGCTGCCAGATTTTAGAGTAAGAAGAGGTTAAATCGAAGATCGCAAGAACTCTGCATTGTGATTGGTTCAAAATGACGTCATCTGAATTTCGGGCGGTCGTATGCTCTACATTTCCACCACGAGTCACTCAACTAGTGATTCCCAACTCGCTTCCGAACTGTTGGGTTTCAAAAATACCAAATCCTGTTGTTGGTTGAGTTGAGTGTTGACTGTAGAGTCAACTGTCAACCATTTCAAAAATAGGGCCCCAGGTGTGAAGACTACTGGGTGACCACTGGTCATTGGTGTATCAGGAATTGGTATTATATTCATCGCGAACTTTTCTCCTGGGCCATTAACATCCAAGATGTATGACGATGTACTGGCCATTTCACAATTACGGTATTTGAATCCCGCAACTGCTTTTTCGGAGTATCCAAACCCGACTCCAAAGCCCATATTTCGTATTTTACCATATAGTGCGAATTTCGCTAAAAAAGTAAATAAATTGAACAATCAACCAAATAAATTAGAATCTTGTTGTTTTAGTTGGCTGGATAATTTAGAACGTTCACTTTAAACAAGAGCGATAGAATTGCCTCTTTGACGATACCAAAATCGATTTAAAAGTTCTGGATAACAAGTCTTAATCAATCTTCTTCAGTATCTTACCCTCGAGCTTGTTTTTTATTACACTATCTAGTACAAAAGTCGTTCAGCTAGATATACGTAAACATTTACAATATTTGAATAACAATGACATTTATTTTGAAAATGTTATCTCACCAACCAAAAAGATGTAACATTTCACTATAAAGTTTCATACCTCCGCATTTCCTGGCCGACAACCCGTATAGATAGTGGGTGGAACTTAATCCCTCAGCAAAAAGAGCGGGACATATGTAAGTGCGGGCCTGTTACATATAAATGTGTAATCAAACCCGCGGAATAGTTGTAGTCGGAGTGATAACAATAAAACCCGACGTCACTGAGCTACCAGCCGCAACTCGACCCGGCCAGACCACTATAAACAGCTGATATAAATCCTCATAACACACTTGTAAACATCGCAGCCGCAGTCGCAGCGCACTTCATACGCATACGCTACGCAACGGTTATAATTGAATTATTTTATTGTGTGGCTCCGCCGCTGAATGATAACGTCGACGTACTCCACGCAAGTTGTGAGCATTTGTTTGCGGAAAGTGTCCTGCATTAATTGCGCCAAAGAGGAACTTAATTGCGCCAAGCCCTCAAAGGGTCCCAAAAAAGGTTCCTTAGTTACGCCGAGCCCAAGCCAGGTTAGGGGTGAGTTGCCGGCCGAAGGAATCTATCATATCTAAACCTAACCTAACCTAACCTAACCTACTTAATTATACAGTCAAAGAGGGCCGCCCTTTGGCAAGTCAATTAATGTATCGGGTGGCTCCTTGGAGTAGTTGGTGCAATTCAGGAATACCCGACTACCTGACTCGGGTCAGCTGGTGCAATTAATGCCCTCCCGTGGAAAGTGTGGAACTAAAGTGAGAAGTGTTGTGCAACTATTGGGGTTAGAGTGAGATACTTGACCACAGGAGGGAATGCATGCTACTGGAGGGGATTGCATCAAGAGTGCGTCCAAGAAACCCAGTTATCCTTGGAACTAAAACTGATTTCCAAATTGTCAGCCAAACAGCCAAATTGTCGTAATTACCCAAGTTCTTTGCTAAAATAAATCACACCGTAATAGCTTAACAATTTTATTTTCTAGACCAAATGTGTCTATTGCGGTTTTGCATTTATAACATTATTACATATTAAAGCTACGTGTAATTTATTGAAAAACTTTCATATTATTTAAATGGTTTTGATCGTTTTGGTACATATTGTAGAGCTAACCTAAAAAAACATTCAACTTTTCGATACAATATGTCTAGCCCACCGATTTACCGTCCGTAAAACAAAATAACCAATCGGCAAAGTTAAAAACCAATCTAAATAAACTCCTTTCCGTCATAAACCCTCAACATGTAAACTTACATTTTAACCATTAAATCCAAGTTTTCTTGTTTAGGCTCTTCTGTATTTTGTTTCATTTTAGTTCAGTGAATTTATGGTTATAGTTTAATTGATACATCGATTACAGTTGCCTATAATTTACAGCACGTTGTACCTTTCTCCTGAACGCACCTTCTGCTGGACGTGTGTCAATCCGCGACGGCGGCAAAGATGAACTATCCGGTGTTCATTGATTCTAGAGTCATTGTCCCCGGGGTCGCAACTGGCGATTCCTAGAAAAACACGACTGTCGGCCGCGTCAATCCTGGGTATCCTGTCAGGAATGTGCAGTCTGTCCCTCACCGCCGACATACGCCATACGCCATACTCCATACGCCGCCATACGCCATGCTGTTTTCACAATAAGACACGCTGAACTCAAGATGCTTCCTAGGCTAACACTACACCATACACATTTGCCACCATAGTCTCATCAAACGACATACAACATATTCCATACGACTCAATACATCCACTATAAGATACTACCTTATAAAAACATACGTATTTTATACATCTCTAAAACACGTGTGACCGCGTGCTGACTTTAAACGCAATTCTTCATACAAAACGTTTTAGAGACGAAGCAATAATTTCTAGGTCGCCAGACTTAATCAAGGGGAGGGTCAAAAATCTTAATTATTACTTTTGAAGGTGTGTAACTGAGGGGACATGGGGGACATCGGTAAGGAATGCTAAATAAGGCATATCTTCCTTGTTTTAAGTTAGGTTTCCCAAATAAGTCCGTGCTTGGAGGTACTCATGTGACCTAGCTCACGATGTCTACCTTAACAACTGCTTCTTTTACAACCATGCCTGACCCCTACGATGGGAATTACTGTAGCCGTGCCTACCATCTTACATAGAACCCTTAAGTTTTAGAAATTGTCACCAAATTGAATTAAAAGTGTCTCCAATTCGGTTACACCTCGGCGAGACTCTCCTGAGAGATAAATCTACACAGCCTCCGTTTGTCGGTGTTGTAGCCATCGAACCCGCGATCCCCACATAAAAAAACTGTCAACTTACTCAATTTCATAACCTCCTACGAAAAGAATTTATTTAGCCTGCTTGCTACAGTCCTGACTATTCAACATCAAATCACATATTCCAAATGGATTCCTAAGACTTCAAAAGAAACTTGAAATTGGTTACACCTCGACGAGCCTCTGCTCAAAA